CGATGCCCTGGTGCCTGTGCTTTTTCCCCGTTTGCCTTCAAGTTTACTTGAAGTAAAGATAATTGCTCAATTGCATTAGGGTTTCTGAGGGGGTGAGAATATACACGTGATCACATCCGCTTAAAAACGCAAAGATGCAATGCTAATTACATTTGCAAGGGGTTATGTTATTGGTCATTGCTTTCGGAAGAGTTATTTTCACTGTTTGCTCTTTGGGCAGTTGTTTATGGTAATACCTTTCACTATACTCTGCTCTTAAAGGGAATTTCACACAAAATTAAAGTTCTGTCATCATTACCATCTTGTCACTGTATGACTTAATTTCTCATCTGCAGAATGAAAAAGGAGACATCCTGAAGGTTATGTTTTACATTTTCTTTCCATGGCATTGCAATGGATTATTTTCAAGCTCCAAAAACAATGTGAAACCTACCATTAAAGTATTATAAAACGAATGCATTAAATTGATCAAGCCATCTGAAGGCATACGTTTGCTTTGTGTGAGAAACATACTGAATTTAAGTTGTTATTCTTTTAAAAATATGACATCGACTCTGTTTGAGGTACACTGTAAAAATGTAAATGTAAAAAATTATTAATTGTGAAATTTGCTAGCAATTTGCTAGCAGTGTTATTTTAGTAGCATTGACATACTATTATAAGTTTTGTTAATATTTTAATTGGATTTTTTTTTATTTGTGCTAAATTTTAGTTTGAGTAATTCTGTTGTGTGTTTTTGTAATTTTTAGTATTTTTTGTTGTTTAGTTATTTTCATTTTAGATTTGTTATAGTTATTATAGTAAAAATGTATTTATTCTGTTTAGTTACATTTTTAGTTATTTTAGTACGTCAAGTTAAACTAAATGAAAATGAGAAATGTTGGCTCGTTAACTAGATGAAATAAAGTAAGGTTTATATTTAATTTTAATTTACATTTATTTTATTTTGAGTAACAAAAATGTGTGTTTGTAATGGTTTTAGATAACTATAATAACCCTGTTTCTGAGTTGAAATATTTCTACACCAGGTTTTATCAGTGTATTCGTGACAGTCCTGATTTCTGATTTGTTAATGAATCGTTCCGATTTTTTCAGTGAATTAATTGATAAAAAATTCACATTTTGCACATTTAAACTTGCCGTTTAAATGTTTGTTGTCAGTAATTGCTTGTCTTGTAACTGATTATGACTTTTAAAGGGTTAGTTCATCCATAAATGAAAATTCTGTAATTAATTACTCACCCTCATGTCGTGACGCAGGTGACACAGAACAGCATACGCTGTTTACATCCAGCCGATATTCTCCAAAATGGCGCTACAGGGTGATGCGGAGGAGACGGATTGTTGAATAAAGTCGTTATTTTTTTTCTTTTGCGCACAAAAAGTATTCTCATAGCTTCGTATTTGTCCCTCGCTCTCCGTTTGTGACACTCGTACTAATGCACAGACCCCAAGTTAGTCATTAATTGTATTAAGATGCATTGTCTTCTGGCTGTTACTGTTTCACACAATAAACCTTCTTTAATGGGGTTTTGTTGCTCTAGTTTCCTCTGCAGATAAGTCCCTTGAGTTCATTCTGTGAATGTGATTATAGAGAGGAAACCCTTCAAATTGTTCATATCTTTTGAAATATTTGATGTGCATTAAGCACAAGCTGTTTCAGTGAAACTCACACAGTAATTAAGAGTCTATACATGATGAAGATACTAATTATTCATCGCCTGAATTGATTTGTTAAAGTGTATTCAGTAATGTGACTGAAATTTTGTTTGTTAAATGTTTTAAATATTGAGCATGGCATGTTACTCAATATTACATGTAAAAAAAAATTTTCATAAATGAATTTTTTTAATAATTTAATCATTTTTATTTATTATTAATTAATTATCACCTGTTACACACGCACACACACAAATTTTAACATTTTAATATCTTTATTTATTATTTCCTTTTTTTCTTTATTATTACCACTCACCTGTAAAACAGAGTATATCTTGAAAGACTTCTTTGTTCTAAGGGCTTTTTAAAATCATCACTAAATTTTATATGAGGCCAAAGGCAGTACTTCCCCCTGCTGTCCTGGAGGATGTGTGAATTAGTGGTGGAAATTTTGATTCTTTCAAGAGATTCGTTCATGTACCAGTTCGGTCATTTTGTTCACTTCACAAACGAGGAGATCTCTCTCGTTCAGACTCAAAAGAAACTTGTTCAGTAAAGGGCGTATTCGTTCACTACATTCAACAAATCACATGCTCCGTCACATCTCATGCTCGAAGGCTATTGGCTCGAGGTTTAATCATTCTTTGAGAGGATGAAACAGTACACAGAGCTACCCGGTTCACGCATGCACTGCAAATAATGCTGCGCTGCTCTGGAGGGAGGAATTTCAGTGAACGAGAAATATGAGTCAATGGATTACGTGAACGAGAATCATTTTTGGGTGAACTAACCCTTTAATATGAAGAAGCACAAATGAGATTTGAGAGGTACAAAAAATTCAATTCAACTTTTTATTTTGAGGGAACTCTGCCTTTAAAAGAAATTCCGAATTCCCACGATGCATCGCTCCTTTGCCGTACGCTCTTTCGCCCCGCTTATTATCCAGCTGTTCGTAATGCTTAACAACGTTCCTCGAATACAGAATCACTTTGCTGTCCTCTCTACTTCTCATCTGCTTCTACATAACTAATCCTCTTAACGCCTCTGAAAGTCCTGTTCGGCGCATTTGTGTTTGCGTATAATTGTGCGAGGCGGTTTGCTTGTCTGCGGCTCGTTGTTGGGCGCAGCCGAGTGTTTGGGCAAGATCGCTGTCTGACTCAAACTCTGAGTGAATAATGACAAAACGCTCGTGCTATTCAGAGAAATGACATTGCGCTTCCAGAAGAGACAGAGAGGGACTGTGACTGATTCTTTTTTCCTTGCTCTCGTTCTCCATACCATTATTTATCTCTCATTTTCTGACTGGCCGCCCCCTCCCTCTCTCCCCGCTCCCCATAGACGTATGCCATCTCTGCAATAAAGTATTGTCTGTTGGTTTATTGATTCATTCACTGCTTCCAGAACATTCTTTTTGAAGGAGGAAGGGGTCAGACAGCAGCACATCCATCAAGCGGCCGATTGGGCGAGTGTAATTGAACTCATTTCGGGTGTGTCATAACAAGGATGGTGGGGGGAGGCGGTTATTTGGCCCCTGATGATCTGAGGTCAAAGGTCAACTCGGGAGCATTTAGAGAGGTTGTGCTCTAACTGTACGCTTTCATTCAGAAGAAAGAGGCGAGGAAGGAATCAGGGAGGGTTTCCTGTCATTCAGGGAAATGGATTTTGCTGCTTCCCATCAGTCTTGAAGCTGCGTGCGGATGCATTGTATGTGTGCATCACAGAGCAAGACTTTTCACTCGTGGCATAAAGTTTGCTCCACTTTGTAATGTGTTCAGCCACTGTCTGATCATCACGTAACGTGATTAAAAGCTTTGTTTTATGTGTTGTTTAGGGATGTGTAGTCGTTGATCAGACATAATAAATACAGATTATTCAGCAGGCATAAAATAAGTGGTTGGGAATATCCTGTTTACTTGCTACTAAGTGCCATAAATAAAACTTGTGAACGTATCTTGTAAACATGACTTTGTTTCTGGCATTCTGGTAAAAACCTGTGCATGCTGACCCGCAGAATGACAGTCTGATGCATATTTCACAAAAAAATTACCAAGTTCCATGTGTTATGGATCACAGGTTTTGCGAATACATGCCCGTAACGGTCTGTGCTTGCCATTTGAGGCAGAAACTGTATGGTTACATGATTCTACAGTGCTTTAAGTGCTTTTTGTCCCTCGCTCTCCGTTTGTGACACTCGTACTAATGCACAGACCCCAAGTTAGTCATTAATTGTATTAAGATGCATTGTCTTCTGGCTGTTACTGTTTCACACAATAAACCTTCTTTAATGGGGTTTTGTTGCTCTAGTTTCCTCTGCAGATAAGTCCCTTGAGTTCATTCTGTGAATGTGATTATAGAGAGGAAACCCTTCAAATTGTTCATATCTTTTGAAATATTTGATGTGCATTAAGCACAAGCTGTTTCAGTGAAACTCACACAGTAATTAAGAGTCTATACATGATGAAGATACTAATTATTCATCGCCTGAATTGATTTGTTAAAGTGTATTCAGTAATGTGACTGAAATTTTGTTTGTTAAATGTTTTAAATATTGAGCATGGCATGTTACTCAATATTACATGTAAAAAAATTTTTTCATAAATGAATTTTTTTAATAATTTAATCATTTTTATTTATTATTAATTAATTATCACCTGTTACACACGCACACACACAAATTTTAACATTTTAATATCTTTATTTATTATTTCCTTTTTTTCTTTATTATTACCACTCACCTGTAAAACAGAGTATATCTTGAAAGACTTCTTTGTTCTAAGGGCTTTTTAAAATCATCACTAAATTTTATATGAGGCCAAAGGCAGTACTTCCCCCTGCTGTCCTGGAGGATGTGTGAATTAGTGGTGGAAATTTTGATTCTTTCAAGAGATTCGTTCATGTACCAGTTCGGTCATTTTGTTCACTTCACAAACGAGGAGATCTCTCTCGTTCAGACTCAAAAGAAACTTGTTCAGTAAAGGGCGTATTCGTTCACTACATTCAACAAATCACATGCTCCGTCACATCTCATGCTCGAAGGCTATTGGCTCGAGGTTTAATCATTCTTTGAGAGGATGAAACAGTACACAGAGCTACCCGGTTCACGCATGCACTGCAAATAATGCTGCGCTGCTCTGGAGGGAGGAATTTCAGTGAACGAGAAATATGAGTCAATGGATTACGTGAACGAGAATGATTCGTTCACCTAAAAGATTCGTTCAAAAAAGAACGATTCGTTCATGAACGAAACATCACTAGTGTGAATAGACATCAAAACTGTACTTAAGAGTGTCTCCCTCTCTCTCCCCCTCATCCAACATCTGTCTTTCTCTTTTTCTCAACAGACTTGATGGTTCCTTCTATGAGATCATGTGGGTGGACTTTGAGATTGACAATTTTATCAACCTGCGGTCATCGCAGTCCATCCGCTGGCAGATAGAGTATCCCTCCACCGGAGCGTCTGCCGAAGTCATCTCCACCATCTACATCAGTGCATATTTCACAAAAAAATTACCAAGTTCCATGTGTTATGGATCACAGGTTTTGCGAATACATGCCCGTAACGGTCTGTGCTTGCCATTTGAGGCAGAAACTGTATGGTTACATGATTCTACAGTGCTTTAAGTGCTTTTTGTCCCTCGCTCTCCGACATCAAAACTGTACTTAAGAGTGTCTCCCTCTCTCTCCCCCTCATCCAACATCTGTCTTTCTCTTTTTCTCAACAGACTTGATGGTTCCTTCTATGAGATCATGTGGGTGGACTTTGAGATTGACAATTTTATCAACCTGCGGTCATCGCAGTCCATCCGCTGGCAGATAGAGTATCCCTCCACCGGAGCGTCTGCCGAAGTCATCTCCACCATCTACATCAGCCAGAGAGACGTACAGGGTATCGTACCCATCGCTGAGGTGAGAGCACACCCCTCACACAACCTCAGCCTTAGGGTTTTCTAGCATCTAACATTGTGTGTTCATTCCTGCCAAATATATTGTCCCCTGTTTATTTTATTTTACATACTTTTTTACATTTATAGATTATAATCTTGGAAATTTCATTGATACATTGAGATAATATTCAGATTTCCTTTCATGACTGTAGTCCCCTTTAAAGTGGGATAGTGGAAAGTATTTTAATATCAAAACAAATGCACACATTACCTTTAATCTAAAAGCACTCCAACAGGTTAATCTGATGAAAGCATGTCAGAAAGTCTTAAAATTGCTTTGTCATGTTTTGTCTTGTCAGTTGAACAAACCTCCTTTTTATTATATATTTCTATTTTATTTTATTGTAACTTTTTTTTTTTCAATCATTTCACATTAAGTAGCCAGAGTTCCAATTTAAGGAAACTGTATCACCTGTTATTTACAGGACCAGACTTTGGACTTTATGTGTACAGTCCAGTCCACTTTTGGACAAGAATTCCCCATTTACACCGACTGACATGTAAAGCAACCAGCCACAATATGTTGTGGTTTTATATGCCGTTTAGGGGCAGGTAGGTTTACATTTGATGAAACAGTATGAAGATCATCCAACTGAACTGTGCTTTAGACAGGTAAGGATTCAATTCTATAGGGATTTAAGTCTTTCAGTCTTCCAGACATGCAGCCTCCTGTGGTTCAGAATGATATGAATAACAATACTTTGTCATGTCAGAAACATAGGATGGAAAGAACGCATATAGCAAATAGACCACAGCAGCTATCTCTCTGCTTTGTAAAACACAGCATGTGCAGTCAATAGTAAAGATGAAGAGCAAGAGAGATGTTTGGTGTGAGGAATTTTCTTAGTAAAATGCTCACTTTTTTGAACACATTATTTACAGATTAGCACGTTTTAATGTATCCTCATCTGTTTTGTTTTTAAATTATGTACTTTTTGGTAATTGTTATTGACAAGATATGATTTAGTTGACAGGAAATTGTAATGTGGAAATGAGAGAAGAAGAGGATCAGGATATGATGTGGGTCTCCCACATCAACACTTGTGTTAACCACTAGGCCACAAGCCAAGACAGCTTTTCTTTTTTTTTTTTTTAAATCACCCTCATGTTTGACCTTCTGATAGGTCAGGTCATGTGTTCTTCCCCCGCTGTTAACAGCTCCATGAGACGTGCTTCCAGCAGGGGGGAGAGGTGACTCTCACAGCCCCAATCCGGGCTCTCCTGCTGGGGTACATGATTCCAGCACACACCCATCAGCCCGCTCTCGCCATGGAGCCTCTCACAGTGTTGAATGGCTGTTTCCTCTGTGGGGAGTCATTTTTGTATTTTTCTAAATTTTTTCTTTACACACTCTATATTTGTTTGGAAAGAAATGAATACTTTTATTCAGCAAGCATGGATTAAATTGATTAAAAGTGATGGTAAAGTCTATATATTGTTACAAAAAAGAATTCTGTTTCAAATAAATGCTGGTATTTTGAACTTTCTAATCATCAATGAATCCAGAAGAAAAATTCTGACAGTTTCCGCAAAAATATTATTCAGCACATCTGTTTTTATCATTAATAATTGATGATTAAAGGAAATGTTTCTTGAGCATCAATTAGCATATTAGAATGATTCCTGAAATATCATGTGAAACAATATTGACAATATTAATGCTTTTACTATATTTCTGAAAAAATAAATGCAGCATTGGTGAACATAAGAGCATGAGAGATTTGTTTCAAAAACATTAAAATCTTACCTGCATATAATTGAAAAGACAAAAAATATAAATTTACAGAAAAAAAATATATATTATCTACAGAAAAAATACACTTATTACTAAGGGTTATTGTTTTTTATAGCTTTCTTTTTTTCTTCATCTTCATCTTTCCCTCTATACTACATGTCCGCAGTGACATCCAGTCCAAACCTTTTAAAGTTAGAGCTTGTTAGAGTCCCTGAGAACCTGTCAGCAAAGAAAGACAGAGACACCTGACACCAGAGACTTCCAGGCAGAAAAGGTCAGAAGATGAAAGACGGCCCATGCTGGAGTCCTGGACTTCCTGTGGAAGTGGCCCAACTCTGTTCATTAACGAAACACACACACAAAAAGCCACATGCAAAAGGGTGAAAAAATGATAAGTAAAAGGAGGAGAAAATATGAGGTACATGGTGTGATAATGGTTATGCTTTTGTAGAAGATTGAGTTTATACGTCAGTGGCGGTAAGTAATAAACTATACCGCAAATGTAATTTAATTTCTACATCAAAAACTCGCTTTCAAACCCTTTACCCCATAAATAAACTCTTAAAAGGACATATTTGTGCTCAGAGTAGCTTTTAGAACTCGGCGAGTTCCAGAAGAGATACAACCTATTAGCAGTAATTTGCCTCGCTGTGTAGACGCTATTTTACCCACAATGAGTATGTACTGAAAGAGGCTATTTCACCCCTCTCCTCTCTTTGGTGTTGAAAGCCAGTTATAAATTGGATCAGTGTGGCTCTTTCCTTACATCTGAGGTGCTGTGTAATTCTGCTTTGGGCTTGTTAGAGTGTTTTAAGCTCCAGACGGTGATACCTCCAGGCCATTTTCTCAGCTTTTTTCCATCTCCCTCTTTCTCTCTCGATCTCTCTCTCTCTCTTGTACCTTCTGCCTTCAAACTCCCCTTTTCCTCTATATGTGTTCTGTATATGACCCCTCTATCTTATCGTTCTTGCTCTGCGTGTGTGCGTGTGTGTGTTTCCTCGCCATTTGAGTTGTTCCCAGCGGAGTGAGCAGAAGCAGCTGAGTGTCTGAGCAGTAATTAATTCTTAATTGGAACACTTGTTTATCTTTGTTGTTTGAAGATTCCAATGAGTTGCTGAAATACCCAGCGGGCCGTGTAGCTACGAGAGGGGCGGGGCTTTCAGCTGCGCCGCTAATACCAGTCTGTCTGCGTTTGTTTACATTAGGGAAAGATAGCAAGAGTGGGCGAGAGAGAGAGAGAGAGAGAGTGTGCCATGCTTAATAGCAACTGTATTTGAAATTACAAATTTGCACGGCGATGAGCCGTTGCTATGGAGAGATGGGCAAGGAGGAGACTTTAAATTAATTGCTTATGCAGTATTGTGGTTTATTTCGATTACTGTTTCATGTTGTGTAAATGATTAATCAGAATCAGAATCAGAAGAGCTTTATTACTGTAACGAGGTTCTTTAGTAGGGCAGGAAGAAGTCGGAGTCAGCGTGACTGAGGCTCGAGTAGTTTATGGGGCTTTCAGCTGCGCCGCTAATACCAGTCTGCCTGCGTTTGTTTACATTAGGGAAAGATAGCAAGAGTGGGTGAGAGAGAGAGAGAGAGAGTGTGCCATGCTTAATAGCAACTGTATTTGAAATTACAAATTTGCACGGCGATGAGCCGTTGCTATGGAGAGATGGGCAAGGAGGAGACTTTAAATGAATTGCTTATGCAGTATTGTGGTTTATTTCGATTACTGTTTCATGTTGTGTAAATGATTAATCAGAATCAGAATCAGAAGAGCTTTATTACCAAGTATGTTTACACACACAAGGAATTTGACTTGACGACAGGAGCTTCCAGTGCAGAAGAAAGTACAAACATAGTGCAGACATACATGATAGTGCAGACATACATAGGAATAACACAGTAGGGATGTAATATAACACTAATATAATAAAAAAAGAAAAATTTAATAATGTACTATATACAGAAATAGAAGTATGGGAAAAAATGTTATAGTTTAGATAAATGTACAGATATGTTTATTAGTGTGCAGATATGTTATGTGTGCAGTTTAATATAAATATACTATGTTAGTTGTGATGGACGATGTATAATTATGAAAGATTAATTGTTCAGACTGAGTATAGTCTGTGGGAAAAAACTGTTCTTGTGCCTGGCTGTTCTGGTGGTCAGTGCTCTGTAGCTCCGACCAGAAGGCAACAGTTCGAAGAGAGAGTGGGCTGGGTGTGAGGGGTCCAAGGTGATTTTTTTAGCCCTTTTCCTCACTCTGGAGATGTAAAGATCTTGGAGGCTGGGCAGAGGGACACCAATAATCCTCTCAGCAGTCCTGACTGTCCGTTGTAGTCTCTTGATGTCTGATTTGGTAGCTGAACCAAACCAGACAGTTATGGATGAACACAGGACAGACTCAATGATAGCAGAGTAGAACTGTTTCAGCAGCTCCTGTGGCAGGTGGTTTCACTGAAGCCCAGTGCAGCAGAGTTTGAAAAGTCCTTGTTGGTGCGGGTGAGGAGAAGAAGATCATCCGTTTTGTTAGGAAGGGAACGGACATTCGCGAGATGAATGCTTGGGAGCGCAGTCCGAAAGCCACGCGCGCGGAGCTTCACCAGGGCGCCGGCGCGTTTCCCTCTTCTACGCCTGCACGCTCGTTTGAACAACACCGCTGTATCTCCGACTAGAATGTCCAGCAAAACGTCCGAATAATCAAAAACTGGAAAAATGTTGTCTGGGATGTGATGTTTAATGTTAAGGAGTTCGTCTCTGGTAAAACTTATAGAAGAAGAATGACAAAACACAGAACAAACAAACAAAAACAATAGAAGAATCGCGGAGCTCAGCGTCCTTGCTGCCATTTGCGGCGCCATGCTGGTGGTATATTAATTAATGAGTTATAGCACGGGAGATGTATGGAAGGATATGAGGACAATCACAGCATGAGTGATTGAGGGGGGATCGAAGTGTTTCATGAGGAATTAGGGCAGTAGAGGAGACATCTTTCTGTGAGTTTGGGCTTTTCAGAATGTAAATTTGTGGTGCATTTTCATTTGATATTTATACAGTTTTCATATGGCACATGGGACAAACTTTTACCGTACATACTATATTACAAAATGTATATCCCAGCAATGTTGCAACGTATTTTCTTTTACCTTTCAGAAGCAATGCTGACAGCATAAATAGAAAATACAGTATTTAAATTAAGGAATGTTGTTTTAAAACCTTATGACATT